CCTGGGTTGCGGGCACATCCCCAGTGGGAGATGTGCAGGAGGCAGCTGGCCGATGTTTCTCTCTCATCGATGTTTCTAACTCTCTATCTCTCTCTCTCCCTTCCTCTCTGTAAAAAAATCAATAAAATAAATTAAAAAAAATAAAAATAAAATTAAAAAAAAAAAAAAAAGAAATACGCTAGCTCTGGCTGGGTGGCTCTGTTGGTTGGAGTGAGTTTGATTTTCCATCAAGGCATATACCTAGGTTTTGGGTTCGATCCCAGGTCAGGGTGCATGTGGGAGGCAACTGATCCATGTTTCTCTCTCACATCAATGTTTCTCTCTCTCTCTCTCTCTCTCTCTCTCTCTCTCTCTCTCTCTCTCTCTCTTTCACACACACACACACACACACACCATAAATAAAAACGTATCTTGGGTGAGGGTTAAAAAAGAAATAGCGCTCTATACTCAAGTCATTGATAGAATCATTCACTCTTGCAAAAATGAATAAAATAATTTGTTTGGCTTCCTAATCTCTGTGAAAGGAATTGGGTTTAGCCAAAAGAGGGTTTGACAGCAGACATCGGTTTGGGAAGGGCACGTGCCTTCACAGCACTTGTTTGGAATTCTCAAAGTCTACTCTGCTGGTAAACAAGTGATATGAAAACAACAAGGGGCCTCATGCCCTATAGACCATTTTAATGACTGGATTTCATCATTAAGCAATATTCAGAGGACTTAAAAATTAAGTTCTTGGATATTTTCATGTAAAAATACTTATTTAAAATTTTAATCTTAGTTTTAAAAATTGAGCATATTTTGCCTCTATTTTCTTTAGCTTGTTCTACATCTAGTTTGTGCAAATGAGTTATTTACATTTTTTCACCTTAAATAAACAGCTTATGAATCTACTTAAAAATACTTTTATTGATTTCAGAGAGGAAGGGAGAGGGGGAGAGAGAAACATCAATGATGAGAGAGAATCATTGATTGGCTACCTCCTGCATGTCCCCCACTGGGGATCGAGCCGAAACCCGGGCGTGTGCCATGACCAGGAATTGAACCATGACCTCCTGGTTTATAGGTCGAAGCTCAACCACTGAGCTACGCCGCCAGGGCCGGCTTATGAGTCTGTTCAGATGAAGAGCGTGGCACAGTCTCGGGCAGAGTAGAGTCAATGAGTCTGTGTGATTGAGGTTGTTACAGTCTGCGGGCCAGAGTCTGCTGTAACTCGTTTACCAGGGTTTGGTAGAGAGGGCGCCACACATTTCTGTGATGTGCCTTGGCTGAAGAGAGAAAACTGGAATTGTTTCTGGAAAGGATTCTAAGCTTTAAGGATGGCCACCTCCATCAGAAGTCATTGGCGTGAACCAGGGGCTGAGAAAGGTGCGGTGGCCTGCTCTCTCAGGTGTGGCTTTCAGAGGTGGTGTGAGCCGGCAAGGAGCAATCTGTGGGAGAACAGGGTGTCTCACTGTGTTCCGCTTGTACGCCAGCAAAAAACCTCCTCCAGCTTTTCCCAACGTTTCCTCTGTCCTTCCCACCCCGTCATCTCCCCGTGGGCTTCCCAGTGTCCTGTGCTAGTAAAGCTACTTTTGTGAATAAGAACGTGACTCGTGTTCCTATTTTCGTAACTGTGACTAAGTGCGTTTTAGTGGGGGTATACCTGGTACCTGGTATTTGAGTTTCATAGTAAATGAACTTTTTTTCTCTTTTCTTCTCTCAATCATCATTTTTCTTCACAACCAATTCTCATTTATTTTTTGGCATTAAAGCTTAACAAGGAAGATCCCACACAGAAGCCATGACGAAAGCAGGTCTGTTCTTACTGGGTTGGCTATACCATGGTTTAAACATTGGTGCGATGAAAACTTCAGAAATTATGTAATCACTTTGTTTACCCTTTATAATGAAGAGGTGTGGTTCTCTTGTTTTTTGTTGTTGTTTAAATACTTTGTGAAATTATTTGTGTTGTATAGTACAGTTGGAGAAAGGATTTAATTTATGTAAACATAAGCAAAGCATTAAGAAAAATGAGTCTGATAGTTACCTGTCTCTCCTTCGACCAGATTAGGAAAAAACAGCAAGAAGTGGTGGGCTTTCTGGAAGCTAATAAAATCGACTTTAAGGAATTTGATATAGCCGGAGATGAAGACAACAGGAAGTGGATGAGAGAGAACGTCCCTGGAGAGAAAAAACCTCAAAACGGGATCCCTTTGCCTCCCCAGATCTTCAACGAAGAGCAGTATTGTGGGGTGAGTGTTTGGTTTCTTGGGAAATTCTTCTGTGTGTGTGTTTCTCAGAATTGTTTAAAGCAGATTAATTTGAGGCAGCATTTATCATAGGTTTGCCATCACTGATCTAAGTAGTTTAAAAACTGTACTGGACATTCTGATTACAACAGCAACTTTCTTTTCTAAATTTATTGGTTCATTTCACCATAAAATCACTTTTTCTTTAGAGTTTACAGATTCTATTTAGAACATCAAATTGTTAAAAAGACACATTGAAAAACTCAAAGGACTTTAGAACCTGAGGATTGGAAGTTATTTTAGGGGTCATCTAAGGTCACTGTTCTTTTTTAAAAAAATCCTCACCCGAGGACATGCTGTATTGATTTTAGAGAGAGGGGAAACGAGAGGGGGGGCGGAGAGAGAGAGAGATATCAAGTGATACAACCTAAGAATGTGCCCTGACCAAGAATCAGACCTGCAACCTTTCAGTGTACAGGACGACACTCAACCAACTGAGCCACGCCGGTGAGGCCTGCTGATCACCTTTCAGATGCAGTGACCAGGGCTCTGGAAATCAGAGGAACTGATCAGTGCTGTGCTGCTTCTCAAGGCTGGAACGGGGTGTAGGAATCTTAGCTCACCTTTTCACTATAGCTGGAGGGCCAGGTCCTGCAGCTACCTGTTTCAGTCAAGTTTTACTGGAACAGGTCCCCACGGATCCGTTCACCTGTTGCCCATGGCGGATGGCTCTCCGGGGCAGAGTTGAGTCATTGCACCAGAGACCACAGGACCCACAAAGCCCAAACTATTCACTCTCTGCCCATTTACAGAGACGCATGCGGAACTCTGCTTTCAAGCGTGAATTGTTTAGTTTGGCGCTTGACCATAGATTCCTAGGCCTGTGGTAACAAAGTACCGCGAATTTGGTGGCTTAAAACCGCAGAAATGGATTGTGTTACAGCTCCGGAGGCCAGAGATTCTAGATCCAGGTGTCGGCAGGGCCGGTCCCTTCCGGCGTCGCCCAGCCCCTGGTGGCCCCACATCCTGGCCTGCCTGGGCTTGTGGGGCATCACTTCCATCCCTGCCTTTGTCTTCACAGAGCATTCTCCTGAGTGTCTCTCTGTGTCTTCACGTGGCTGTGTTATAAAGACAACACCCTAAGCCGGTAACTAATTCCATCTGTAACTATCGTATTTCCAACTACGTCCCTTTTTGAAGTTCTGGGTGCACATGGATGTGTGGGGCCACTTTTCAACCCCCTGCAGGGCTGTATTTACTTGGCTGTGTGAGCTTTCTTCAGTGGCTTTGCTCAAAGATTTGTGGACGTGGGGGTATTTTCAGTCTTTTTAAAAAAATATATATTTTTATTGATTTCAGAGAGGAAGGAAGAGGGAGAGATAGAAACATCAATGATGAGAGAGAATCATTGATTGGCGTGCAGCCCTTGACCAGAATTGAACCTGGGACCCTTCAGTCGGCAGGCTGACGCTCTATCCACTGAGCCAAACTGGCTAGCTGGCAGCGGTTCTCAACCTGTGGGTCGCGAACAATGAAAATACATCCTGCATATCAGATATTTACATTACGATTCATAACAGGAGCAAAATTACAGTTATGAAGTAGGAACGCAAATAATTTTATGGTTGGGGGTCACCACAACATGAGGAACTGTATTAAAGGGTCGCGGCATTAGGAAGGTTGAGAACCACTGGGCTAGGGCGTATTTTCAGTCTTAATGTGGCAAGTGCTTATTTTGTGGAACCTACGTGGTCCAGTCCTACTCTCTGTGGATTTGAAGTGGGGCTTCCCAGAGCATAGAGAGGACTTCCTCTGAGAGGAAGACCCTCCCCTTCCTCCCTCTCCTGTCCTCTCTCCGCCCTCCCACCTCCCCACATCCTTCCCCCAGACCCACATTCCTAAGACTTGTAGCTCTTGATGGATGAGGAAAGTAGCTCTTTTGCTATCATACTAGTAGATGTTACATAGTTTTTCACCTTTCTTATTTGTCTTTTGAGTTTTTAAAGTGATGTTTTTTGGAATGCAGAACTTAAATTTTTTTTGTGTAGACAAATTTATTCATCTTTGTTCTTTATGGTTCTTGCAGTCTTGTTTAAAAAGGCCTTCTGTACACTAGGATTATTAAAAGCATCATCTCATGTTTTCTTTTAGTGCTTTTCCAGTGAAAGAAGGATTTTAAATCTCTTCTTATTTTAACCATGCTTTTAAATTAAGACTAGTGACAGTCAAGACAATATTGAGCAGTGTATTTCCAACCTATGATAACTCAGAGAATAAAAGTTCTGTGAGGATTTTCTGCTATAAAAATAAAACCTTAAAGGCCTTTTGTATCCTGTTTTGCTGTGATCTAGCACTTATAATTTTTTTTTAGTTGTGGAGGAGAAAGAAAGGGTGTTCCAAATAAGAAAAAAACACCTTATATTTAAAAAATATACTTCCTATTACAAATATGAGTCTAATGAGATAAACATTCACATTATTTTTTGTTTAAAAATAACTTTTCAGCACGTTCTGCCTTCACAGAGATATTAGCAGCTTATCTTGCTAGCACTTTTGCTAACTTTGCTTTCCTGCAGCCCGTGGACAGTCTAACACAAGTGCATTACTGAGGCGGAGGGCTTTGTTTCCAGAGTAGGTAGAAACGATAGTGTGTATTGTAGGTTTCGATTTTTAAAAGAAAACTCAAAGGACCGGAAGGACGTGTCCGTTTTAAAATGGCATAAACCTGGACGGTCAGTCACGGTATCTTTCTACCCGGTTGAAATGTGCGCTGTAAGAATAACGCTGTTATTTAACGTAAAGCACTGGTCTCAGGGGTCTCCAGTGGCCACTCACGGGCCAGGCCTGCTGTGGCGCAGGTGGAGGAAGCGCAGGGCAAGCAGCGGGTTGCTCTGTGCCCGGGCCGGGAGGGGGCTGCATGGCAGGGTAGTGCTGGGGCCCGAAGTGCCGCCGGTCCGAACTGCTGCTCCGGGCAGCACAGATGGAGATGTTATCCCCGGGCTTGGCAGACAGCTGTCAGCTGGGAAAGGAGACACCTGCTGGGGAGCCAGGCTCAGAGGAGGCCAGAGGAAGCAGCAGACGCGTCTGTCGCTGCCAAATTGGAGCCTGTGATCTTAGCCCAGGTGAGGGCAGGGGTGCCTGTCTGGATCCAAGCACAACCAGAGGGGACCTTGGCCATTCAGCAGAGAGGCAGTGTCCTCAGGGCTGCAAGGGAGGGCAGGACGAAGCCCAGTTAGGTGGGGGGAGGACTTTTCAACACATGGATGCCATTAAATTTTATGTCATTAAAAATTTATGATGAGCCCGGCTGGCGTGGCTTAGTGATTGAGCGTTGACCTATGAACCCGAGGTCATGGTTCGATTCCAGGTCAGGGCACATGCCCAGGTTGTGGGCTCGAACCCCAGTGTGGGGCATGCAGGATGCAGCCAATCAATGATTCTCTGTCATCATTGATGTTTCTGTCTCCCTCTCCCTTCTTTTCTGAAATCAATAAAAAAAATATATTTTAAAAAATTGTGATGAAATATGTCATATGATAATGACATATGTGTAAAGACAAGTAATAGATGAGCAACCATGTGCGCACCTCCCAGTGTAAGAGGTCCGATGTGCACAGACACGTAGACATCCCCGTGTGCTTCTCCCTGTCACGCGCACCTCCCTCTGCACCAGAGGCGGCAGCGTGTAGTGACTTGCGTGTTTATCATTCCCTTTCTTTTCTCTATCTGCAGTGTATATGTACCTAAACAATACACTGTTTTGTTTTGCCTATTTTTTATTTTATTTTGTTTTTGTTAATCCTCACCTAAGGATATTTTTCCATTGGTTTTTAAGGAGGGTGGAAGAGAGAGGGAAAGAGAGAGAAACATCGATGTGAGAGAAACACATAGATTGGCTGCCTCCTGCACGAACCCGGACTAGGGCCCTGTCTGGGAGGGAGCCTGCAACCAAGGCGTGTGCCCTTCACTGGAATTGAACCCAGAACCCTCCGCCAGCTGATTCTCTATCCACTGAGCCAAACCAGCCAGGGCTGTTTTGCCGATTTTTGAGCTTTATATAAATGGACTCATTACATGTGTTCTTCTTAGACTTGCTTCTTTTTTTGTTGTTGTTGTTAATCCTCACCCGGGGATATTTCCTATCGATTTTTAGAGAGAGTGGTGTGGGGTGGGGGGGGGGGGGAGAGACAGAGAAAAACACTGATGTGGGAGAGACACATCGATTGATTGCTGCACACGCCCTGACCAGGGCCAGGGATCAAGCCTGCAACTGAGGTTCACGCCCTTGACCGGAATTGAACCCAGGACCCTTCAGTCCGCAGGCTGACACTGTCCACTGAGCCAAACTGGCCAAGGCTTGACTTGCTTCTCTCACCAACATATTTTAAAGACACACCCATGTTGATTGGTGTTGTTCATAGTTCATTCATTTTCACTGCTTCAGAATGGACATCAGAGTGTGTCTTAGTCCATCTGGACTGTGTAACAAAATACCACAGGCTGGGTAGCTTATCAGCAACACAGGTATTTCTCACAGTCCTGAAGGCTGGGAAGTCCAAGGTCGAGGTCCCGGCACGATTGAGTTCTGGTGAGGACCCGCTTCTGTGTTCACTCCCAAAGGCCCCACCTAATGCTGTCATCTTTGGGGGTTCAGACATTCAGACCACAGCAGTGTGGTTTCCGGTGTGGGCTGTCACAGTGCTGCTACATGGGTGCTCTCCATGGCTCCCTGGTGACGGGCGAGTTTCCTCGGTCCTGTAACGAGGGGTGGAAAAGCGAGGTCACAGCTAGCAGCATGTTTAGCTTTAATGAATAATACAAAGTGTTCTTTTATTATTTATTTGTTTATATTGATTTAGAGAGGAAGGGAGAGGGAGAGAGAGAGAAACATCAGTGATGAGAGAGAATCATCGATTGGCTGCCTCTTGCACACCCCCCACTGGGGATCGAGCCCACAACCTGGGCATGTACTCTGACCGGGAATTGAACCGTGACCTCTGGGTTCATAGGTCGACACTCAACCACTGAGCCACGCCGGCTCGGCAACTACCTGGTTTTAGGTCACAGTTGTCCCCATTTTGCCAAAACAACCTATGCGCTAAGCCCTCCATAATCCTGTGGCTCCTGGTCTCAGAAAGCGTGAGAGGAATCTTTGTCCTTAGAAGCTACTAACAGCAGAGAAATCCTGTGCTGTTTTAGTCTCTGCTGGTCGGGTCTAATCCATGGGCCAAGTTGTGAGGCAATCAGCCAACGATGTGCAACTCCTGGAGAAGCCTTTTACTGTGTATAGCTGAGTCTTAGCAGTTCCTGAGCACGAACAGTGTGTGTGTGAATTCTCACTACACTGTAATAGGCACAAAGTGTGTGAAAACAAATGTCAAGTTCACAGTTAGATTTCTTAACTTTGGGATTAGTCATCTTTGGCCAAACAAACTGGCATAACGTTTTGTGTTGGCTCCTAAATTAATGGCAAATAAAAAAAGAGATCAACTTAGGTAAAAATCCTGGCTCACAGGTGTGCAGTGGGCTTAAAAATTCTTTTTCTTTGCTTCAAGGATTTTGATTCTTTCTTCTCTGCAAAAGAAGAGAATATTATTTATTCATTCCTTGGCTTGGCTCCCCCTCCAGGCTCAAAGGTAAGTTTGAACACCCTATGGGGTCCCAATACAGGTCCTAATAAATGAAGCTGGAAATCAGCACCTAAGACTGTTTAATAAATGAGGATATTTAAATCAACATGATTTTAATACACTCCTTATTCTGATGAAGTCTTATGCATAAAGATAATGCAAACTTTTTACTAACACATGTTCCAAAACTGTGCTTTTCATATTTTTGCTTCATTATATTTTATCATAAAATAAAAATAAATAAAAAATAAAAGTTTTACAATACTTTAAAAAAGAAATATCATTGCACTCAATAGTCTTAAGTGTGCTAATTCAATATGTAAAAATATGAGTTCCCAGGTTGTGTTTATGAAATTTTGTTATGAATTAACTTCTTATATAGCATATATTAGTTAATTCTATAATGATACATCCACTATTTTAATTATTTTTTGTTTAAAATAAATTAAACTCTGATTTTTTAGTCTGATAAAGAGGGGAAAAGTAAGATCTGGATTCAAGATCAAGATAAATTTTATTAGTTTTCTCCCCCCAGTACCGTTTCATCTTTGATTAGGTATAATCATGTCTATTAAATCAAGAATTATGCTAATAAAGCTAATATCATGAATTCCTCTATGTTCACCGGCTTCACCCCATGCAATGGCCACTGCATTCCTTGCCTCTACCAAGATCTCATACAGGACTTTCCGTAGATACAAGACATTCTTTCTTAATTCATTTGTTTGTTTGTACCCACCTTCATTTCTAAAGAGATTTGTGATGACTGAGCCCAAGTCTATTCTCACTATAGAAGAAACCATTCAAAATCCGACCTTGTAGAGATGGGCTTGCCTCTGAGGCATGTCTTTCACATGTCAGCAGTCTCAGGTAATGGCACTGAGGTGTCTTAGCGCTAGGCTGACACACACAGGCCTGGCACTAGCGCCTTCTCCAGGTGGTAACATGCAGATTCCACAGCTGTTTTTGAAAATTTGCTTGCTCAGAATTTTTTATTATACAGAACCCTGCAGTGACTGTCACCACAAAATAGCGCTCTTTCTTCCGGAGTGTTTCTTTGGGGCACATTCCCAGTGGTGCTTTCAGTGAGGCAGGCCGAAGTGCCTGGGCATCTTATGGGCTTCAAATGTGACTCCAGATTGCCCCCTGCTAGGGCAGAATGTGAATCCCACTGCGCCACGCTGCACCCGCTCCACTGAGCCAACCGTGAGCATGCTTAATCGCCTTGATTTTAGGGCCATCAGATTGTATTTTAAAAAATTGTTTCTGATTTTATTGTGCTATGGAGAGGGAATGTGGTGTGAATTTCCATCACCTTTGTAGCACAATGTGTATTTTTATTTCCCTATGAAAAGACTGTTTTGAATATTAAAAATTAGTTTTCTTAACTTCCCTGAGGTGGGGAAGAAAAAAGTCACACAAGCCCAGAGAGTCCCAAACAAGGTGAACCCGAAAAGACCCACACCAAGACACATCATAATTACCATGGCAAATGTTCAGGATAAAGAGAGAATCTTACAGGCTGCAAGAGAGAGACGGAAAGTAACATACAAGGGATCTCCCATTAGATTATCAAATGATTTCTCAACAGAAACACATCAGGCCAGAAAAGAATGGACGGAAATCTACAAAGTGATGCAAAGCAAAGGACTGAATCCAAGAATACTCTATCCAGCAAGGCTATCATTCAAAATTGAAGGGGAAATAAGAAGCTTCACAGACAAAAAAGGGCTAAGGGAGTTTATCACCACCAAGCCAGCAATGCAAGAAATGCTAAAGGGACTGGTGTAAAAAGAAGAAATATCAAGCTCAGAAAGAAAACAGCCACACACACACACACAAAAAGAAATGGCTACAAACAAGTACCTTTCAATAATAACTTTAAATGTAAATGGACTAAATGCTCCAACCAAAAGACATCGAGCGGCTGAATGGATAAAAAAACATGACCCATACATCTGCTGTCTACAAGAGACCCACCTCATTAGAAGGGACTCACACAGACTGAAAGTGAAGGGATGGAAAAATATCTTTCACGCAAATGGAAAGGAAAAGAAAGCTGGGGTAGCAATACTTATATCTGACAAAATACATCTCAAAGTGAAGGCCATAACCAGAGATAAGGAAGGCCACTTCATAATACTAAAGGGATCAATACAACAAGAAGATATAACCCTGGTAAACATATATGCACCCAATGCAGGAGCACCCACATACATAAGAAAACTTCTGGAAGATATCAGGGGAGAGATCGACAACAATACAATCATAGTAGGGGACTTTAATACACCACTGACATCACTGGATAAATCCGCTAGACAAAAACTCAGCAAAGAAACAGCAATCCTAAATGACTCACTAGATCAGATGGACTTAATTGACATCTTCAGAACACTTCACCCCACAGCTGCGGAATATACATTCCTCTCAGGTGCTCATGGGACATATTCAAAAATAGACCACATATTGGGTCACAAGCAAAGTCTCCACAAATTCAAGAAGATTGAAATCATAAAAAGCATCTTCGCAGACCACGATGGCATAATGTTAGAAATAAACTACAATAAAAACAACCCAAAATACTCAAACACTTGGAAGCTGAATAGCATGTTATTAAATATTGATTGGGTTACCGATGACATCAAAGAAGAAATTAAAAACATCCTGGACACTAATGACAATGAAAACACAACAATCCAAAACCTCTGGGACACAATGAAAGCAGTCCTGAGAGGAAAGTTTATAGCTCTACAGGCCTATCTCAAAAAACAAGAAAAAATGGTAGTCAATCATCTAACTCTACAACTCAAAGAATTAGAAAGAGAGCAACAAGAAAACCCCAGAGTGAGCAGAAGGAAGGAGATAATAAAGATTAGAGCAGAAATCAATGAAATAGAGACCAAAAAAACAATACAGAAAATCAATGAAACCAAGAGCTGGTTCTTTGAAAGGATAAACAAGATTGACAAACCCCTAGCCAGGCTCACCAAGAAGCAAAGAGAGAGGTCCCAAATAAACCAAATCAGAAATGATAGAGGCGAAATAACAACAGACCCCACAGAAATACAAATGATTGTTAAACAATACTACGGGCAACTCTACTCCAACAAACTAGACAACCTGGAGGAAATGGACAAATTCCTAGAAAAATACAACATTCCAAAACTCAATCAGGAAGAATCTAAAAACCTCAATAGGCCAATAACTATGGAAGAAATTGAAGCAGTCATCAGAAAGCTTCCAGCAAACAAAAGCCCAGGGCCAGACGGCTTCACAGGGGAGTTTTACCAAACATTCAAGGAAGAACTAAAACCTACCCTCCTCAGACTACTACAAAAAATTCAAGAGGAAGGAACACTTCCAAGCTCATTCTATGAAGCCAGCATCACCCTAATACCAAAACCAGGTAAAGACATCACAATGAAAGAGAATTACAGGCCAATATCCCTCATGAACATAGATGCCAAAATCCTCAACAAAATCTTAGCAAATCGGATCCAGCAGTACATCAGAAGGATCATACACCATGACCAAGTAGGATTTATCCCAGAGATGCAAGGATGGTACAACATCCGTAAATCAATAAATGTGATACATCACATAAACAAATTGAAAGAAAAAAACCACATGGTCATATCAATTGATGCAGAAAAAGCATTCGACAAAATCAACACCCATTTTTGATAAAAACTCTCAGAAAGGTGGGAATAGAAGGATCATACCTCAACATAATAAAAGCCATATATGACAGGCCCACAGCCAACATCATACTCAATGGACAAAAACTAACACCATTTCCCCTAAGAACAGGAACAAGACAGGGATGCCCACTCTCACCACTCCTGTTCAACATAGTACTGGAAGTATTAGCCATTGCAATTAGGCAAGAAGAAGAAATAAAAGGCATCCAAATTGGAAAAGAGGAAGTAAAACTGTCCTTATTTGCAGATGACATGATATTATACATACAAAACCCTAGAGACTCCATCAAAAAGCTACTAGACTTAATACATGAATTTGGCAATGTAGCAGGATACAAAATTAACCCCAAGAAATCTGAGGCATTTCTATACACCAATAGTGAACTTTCAGAAAGAGAGATTAGAAAAACAATCCCATTTACCATCGCACCAAAAAAATTAAGATACCTAGGAATAAACTTAACTAAAGAGGTTAAAGACCTCTACTCAGAAAACTACAGGACGTTGAAAAAAGAGATAGAGGAAGACATAAACAGATGGAAGAACATACCATGTTCTTGGATTGGTAGAATCAACATCATTAAAATGTCCATACTACCCAAAGCAATCTATACATTCAACGCACTTCCCATTAAAATACCAATGGCCTTCTTCAAAGATCTAGAACGAACTCTCCAAAAATTCATCTGGAATAAAAAAAGACCCCGAATAGCTGCAACGATCCTGAGAAAGAACAAAGTAGGTGGGATCTCAATGCCAGATATCAAGCTGTATTACAAAGCCACTGTTCTCAAAACTGCCTGGTACTGGCACAAGAACAGACATATAGATCAGTGGAATAGAATAGAGAGTCCAGAAATTAGCCCGAACTAATATGCTCAATTAATTTTTGACAAAGGAGGCATGAACATACAATGGAGCCAAGATAGTCTCTTCAATAAATGGTGTTGGGAAAATTGGACAGATATATGCAAGAAAATGAAACTAGACCACCAACTTACACCATACACAAGAATAAACTCAAAATGGATAAAGGACTTAAATGTACGACAGGAAACCATAAAAATTCTAGAAGAATACAAAGGCAACAAAATCTCAGACATATGCCAAAACAATTTCTTCACTGATACAGATCCTAGGGCAGTTGAAACTAAAGAGAAAATGAACAAATGGGACTACATCAAAATAAAAAGCTTCTGCACAGCAAAAGAAACCATCAACAAAACAATAAGAAAACCCACCTCATGGGAAAACATATTTGCCAACGTCATATCTGATAAGGGCTTAATCTCCAAAATTTATAGG